GTGAGTACGAGGGACAAAATCGTAGTAGAAACTTCTAATGAATAAATTCTTAAGATTTTTGCAGCTTATCTCACTGTACGTCGGATATACTGTTCTAGAAGTGAAGAATAAATCTAAAAAATGTCGAAAGATAAGACTTCATTGAAAACGTTGAATATTTGCAGAGGCTTTTTGAAATAAAACGATGACGATAACAAAGAAACTGGTATGGATAAATCTTTGTCTGTTTCTCTGAAAAATATTTTGCCTGCAACAGACGAGACACCTCCCACAGAAAATCAGATAAGATGTTGACCGTCAAATTCCATTGTAACCGCTGAAAAAGTAGGTGAAGATTGATAAACAAGGCATTAAAATCATAATAATAGTGCTCATCGAACTGGACTACAACACAAATAAAATATCTTAAAATACGAATTACGTTCAGAATGGAGAATCTATTAAAACTGGTAACAAAAGAGATCACTTCAACGATAAGGTCACTTGAGTGTCGATCGATAAGTGTCGGTTAATCAATTTTAAACTGTAGTATGATGGCCATAATATAACTCTTTGGTTTCTATTCGCAACGTTTGAAGTGAACATGTCTGCAGGCACGACAAGAGTTAAATATTAACTCTTCTTTTCTCTAGCTATTTCATGAAACAGTGTGCTGAAAAAAGTCCACTTCGTGGTCATGCAGAAGTGAATCATCAAATTTATTCCGTATGAGAGATAATTGTAGGACCTGTTAAAGAGGCATCAAGTAAATGAGAGCGATACTCTTTTCGGAGAATTAGCACAGCAGTGTGATTCAACTATTTTTCCAAATGAAGATTTAAAACCAGATGTAAAATTCAGATAGTTCTGTTATTCTACTCTTTCTTCAGACTTAAATTCTTCTAGGGATTCTTGTAAATGAAGAACATTGGGATTACTTTAGGAACTATTGATATCAAAAACTCTTTATGAACGGCTCACATGCAATCTAAATTATCCAGAGATGTGCGGATATCCGAAATAGGAATATCCGCATATAAATATTCGAATTAAGAATATCCGAGACCGGTTGTCGGCCGACATAGCTTGGAAAATACACATTCGCGATTAATTTGACGTTCTAAAAAGTGAATTGACGGTGTAAAACCTGTAAAAGCATAAAGGTCATTAAAGCTATAAAAGTTGCTTTCGCCAATGAAATTTGAAATTTTGATTTCATTCTTTCAGTCTGACTATACAAAAATAGAGTGGACGTGTCTGTGTATAGAAGAAACATGTGAAGGTCATATATATGCAAGAACTTTTGAATTAAATGTATATCGACTAACGATGTTACATAGTCAGAAAACAGTAAACAAGCAAAGAAGAAAATTTCGCTTACATAAGAGGCGTGAGAGTGAGTCACGATAGTTGCCTGATCTGGATAGTGATGTGAACTACTTGCGGTTTCAAAATGCAACATAGTTGGTTGTTATTTTAATACCTTTGGTTAGACAAGAGAGAAAACCTTGCGGTTTTTCGTAACTCGGCAGTCAATGCGAGTCACCATATTGGTTTGTTTGATTTTTAGTTATATGTATTCAAACAGTCAGATGCTGATCGACCCTAAATTTTTTATTTCTGTATTCCAGCTGTGTTTTCTATGCCAATCATTTTCGAACAGTTTATTCTATGAATCCATATCTTTGGAAACATGTACCTCAAGGATGGGAATCTGAACTACTTGCGGATTCAAATTGGAAAGTACTTGGTTCTTTTTTTCATAACTTCGGTTAGAAAACGGACAAAACCGTACGGTTTTTTCAACTGAGCAGTCAAAGTTATATCATCTTTTATCCGAAAATAAATGTTGCCACATTAATCAGGAGGACCGATTATCTATGTCTTATATATTTTTGAGTTTGTAAGAAGCAGAAAGTCCAATCCTAGTGCTTCGCGAAAAACCGCCTCATCTGAAAAACCATGCGAAACCAAACGGTCTCTTGGATCTCATTTTCCAGAAAAAACTTCGGACTATTTGTCTATCTAAAATACATTTCTACTTTGCTTTCAGCAAAACCTACAAGGTTTTCGAAAGACCTCATGGAAAACCAGTTTTTGAGACATTTCCAAAACTAGATCTCCAGACAAAGCAGGTCGTAACGCTATAAAAGCACAAAAGTCATAAAAGCACAAAAGTCATAAAAGCACAAAAGTCATAAAAGCACAAAAGTCATAAAAGCACAAAAGTCATAAAAGCACAAAAGTCATAAAAGCACAAAAGTCATAAAAGCACAAAAGTTACACATAACGTATACAAAACGGAATCTCATATTCAGAGGGTCTAAAGCGCAAACAAATTTTGGAAATTTATCTAGCTTTTTCTGGTAAGAGATGTAAGATTGACTTATACCACGTTCAATTCGCTACGCAAACAAATCAAGTATGCATCGTTTTTTGTTGAAACATTTCATTTTTTCAAACTCAGCGGCGGAAAAGTGAGCATTCTGCCCGTAATTCTCAATTTTTCCCATCAGAACGCAACTTTAGTGCAATAAAAAGATCATGTTCGGAATCAGGATCAAATACTGAGTCGATCAATGTGTATTTCTATTCTACCCGACTACGTTAATTTTTTTCGAATTTTCACGTTGAAAAATTATCGAGATTTTTACCAAAAAATGAAAATCAACTAAAAATTTTTGAAATAAAAAACTATTGCCTACTTTAATTTTTTTCACATAAATCGAGCTTACACTTTTTACCAGAAGAAACTAGATAGATTTCCAAGGTTTGTTTGCGCTTTAGACCCTCTACATATGAGATCCCACTTAGTATACGTTTTATGTGACCAGGCTTTAAATAATCTTTCTAACCTAATACGCTGAATTCAAAAAAAGATTTGTGACTTTTGAAAATGGAACAGGAAAAGAATATTCGATATTTTCCACAACCGAACGTTTTTATGAAATTCTAGAACCTTTCAGTATGTTGAAAATTTCTTCTTCAAAATCCAATCTTTTTAAACTTAGCCTAGATATTCTTGATCAGCTCGTCGAACTCTATCGAACCAGGTATAATATCACCCAAAATGGCGCTTAAACTTCGAATTTGGTACGTCTTATCTCCACTTTACTTCACTTCTACAGAAAACCGGACATATTTTAGAATCGTTTTCCTTCCTACTATTAATTCTTAATAGTTGCTGAAATACGTAAAGAGTTTAATTCAAATTCCATTTGTTTTGCTTAGTCAACGCTTTTTTTCTTTATTCTCTTATAAACCAATTTAAACCTGTAAATGCATACAGGTGTGCAGTGTTTATATGTGTCTGTTTTCTTAGATACATATATACACACGATAAGGACTACAAAATCAGAATAAAATAAGGTAAATATTTGTAGTGGAATTCATAAAAAGAGGAATAGAACGTATTTCGAAAATATCATTTACTTCTTCGAGTATAATTCTGTTGCCCACAAAAATTTTTTTTTCTTTTTGTGGCAAATAATATCCATTATTCTGATATTAAAATGTCGAATTCTGAATTTCATGATAAACGAAAATTGTTCGAAAATTCCAAAACGCTTATTAGATGGGCGCGTCCATCTGGTGAAGACGTTAAAATAGGAGATATACCAAAACCCAGGCGCTCATCGACATTACCAGAAGGTAAGTGTAAAAGGAAAAAAATATTCATTGAATTTTTTCTCATCTGAACAATATTACAGAGACACCGCCACCAATACCACCACATAACCATCACTTAAACTCAAAGAACGATAACATAACACAACAGAATCCTTCAGCAAAAAAGATACCTGTTCACGGAGAGAAACCTAGTAAATCAGAAAGACATGACAGCGTTGGTCAGATAGATACTACATTGTCAGCAACTTTACCCAATGAATGTCTGTTTCATAAATTAAAAGAAATTGAAAACAATTATGTTCGTATACAGCCCGATCGTATCATCATACCAAGACAAAAACCATCTAAACCTCCGATATCCGAAGATGAAATTAATATCCTTCACACGTATTTGAATCAGATTAGCACTACGTGAATGATAAAAATGCTGGTTCAATTATTCAATCTTAGTATACACAACATACTCTATTAGAGTGACTGGTGTGACTGACCAGTCCCATGATTCCGTCTTCTACATCTCTCTCGATACGTTGTATCATCTCTATCGTTCTTCCGTTCTGTTCTTATGTGCTTTTTTGGGGATTTATTCTGTATATTAGTCCGCATATGGTGTAAATGCCTTTTTATTGTGAATGCACCTTTTTTTGTAAATTGGGTGTGTTTTTTAATTATCCCGATCATAGAGCACACATCATTCAGTCTCGTACGTCCTGAATCTGTTCCTTTCTACTGAATGGTGAGATATTTTGCAATACTCAGTGCTAAACGTATGCTGTACATTTTTGGCTTTATACACTGTTATACGAAGTTTAAGACGTTCATGCTTTTGATTATGAACGAAACGCTTTTGTCTTATAGAATACTAAATTTTGCGGTGCTTATTGCTTCCAAGAATGAGTAAGTCCAGAAGTCAGCGAATAATTAAAAAGAATAATTCATTATATTTTTTCATTTAGACAATTAAAATGATTAGTAATAATGATTGCAAGACATAGTTAGTGATATTCAAACGTTACCTGATATATATTTACGCTTACTAGCTAGTCGTGATAACTTTATTTTTGAATTGTATCTTATTCATGAAAAAATTGATAAACTCAAAATAATGAACATTTATATTTTCTTTTTTTCCATTATGCTTTTCGACAAATAAATCACTCGATTCTTCCTACTTTTCTACAACCAAAAACTGACAAAATCTTACGGCACCTTAAAGAGTTTGTTAATTTATACTTGAATCTAAAATCATCGTGTAGAACTTGTCCAAAATGTGAGCAAAAACTTACATTTGCACGCTTTTCTTCTCACAAAAGCTAGGTTTTATTTTTATCAAATAATACTGAATAGTTTCTTTACAGCCTAAGGGAGAACGTCGAAAATTTCTTTTTTTAAAAATGATGATACAAAAAGCGATCCCGGTCAGTGAGCCCGCCCCTCCTTGGAATTACCCACAGTCCGTAAAAACATTCCCTACACTTTCCGCCGCAGAAAATGTTGCTGCGTCATAAAAAACTATTTTTTATGTCAACTTTTCTGTGTTAATCTTCCGTTTTTATCAGCACTTCGCTTTCTTAATAAACGAAACGAAAAGTGCAGTAATCTCAGATAAAAGCATTCTATTTTTGCTCCATCACTTTTCGCTAGATATTTTTAGAAGCTTTCGGTCTTATAGCCTCTCTCTCCGCCCTCCCCGCCAAAAACAATTGAAATTTGTGAATGCAAAGGCAAATGGAATGCATGACTGTTTATACTTACAGTAAGTAACAAAACTTTTTGTAGAGTTTCTTTTCACATCACATCTAATCGAAAACTCTGTTAGCTATAGAAATCTGCATTAAGGCTCGTTCTTAGCTATTGGATAAATCTATATAGGCTCTACCATCATTACATCGATTTAAAGTGCAGAAGATGAGAAACACTTTTTCCGATGCAGTTTTACACGCTGATTCCAATGGTGAAAACCACAGCTCGCTCTCAATCGAGGAAAAACAGTTACACTCATTTTATTTTTCAGCAAAAAAGCGCATGTTTCGGCATTTTCCAGCGGCTTTTGTGATATTCCGGAGTTTATTTAGACCTGTTATCCCTTTCGTACAACCGTCGTTTTTATCTCAATGAAAGAGGATGTCGAGATCTACATAGATCAATAAAAAATATTCGTATTAATTTTTTGGAACAGGCCTAAAAGCTCTCAAGAAAACTCCGGTTTTCCAGCAATTCTAGCAGATTTGGGATATACTGAAAACGTTTTAGTTTGTTCAGAAAAAATCGTTTTTAACTGTGTACGGGGTACAGGAATCAAAAATATCTCCTTTGTTCGCCCAACAAATGGTCCAAGTAATAATTATATCCATCAAGATTATTATGTTATTGGCGTTGAACCTGATGGGAGATAGAATATTGACAGACACCAGCACAAATCTTAAATGACTGAACCAAAATACTATCAGGACGTTGAATATCGAAAAAATAATTTTAAATTGCATATGATGTATTTTCAAAACAACAACAACCAGTCTTTCGTGGTAAAGTGTATTCAGGAATATATTTGCTGCGGTCTACTCACTCAATCTAGAAAAGTCACTTAATTTGGCTAGTCAAATTAGTAGTGCAAATTCTATTTAAGAAATTGTTTCGACATTACTCAAATTATGGGTTGTCAAGGTACGTTAAGAACAAGATAGAGAAATAAAATCAACAGTTACTGTCCCATCGCATATTGGACGAGGCAAATATATTTCTGGATATGTATTTGTATACAAAAATAACAAAAGCATTCTCTCATGTTCCATCTGATCGTTACAACTGCGTGGCAGGAGTACATGAGACAGTATTCTTTCGGTCACAAAATCCACCGCGAATTACGTTCAAAATGTGATATGAGAGTAGATGAGGGTAAATAAGCGTAAGTCTTTCATTCTATACAAACCTGATCGCTGCGATTTTCTAAAATTTTCCCCGAAA